TTTGCCTCAATTAGGTAAAGATTTGGAGGGGATGGAAAGGACTTATGGATTACCCTGTATATCGCACGAATTTCGCCATATATATTGTGAAGTTGATTTCTTATATATTGCACGATTTTCGCCACATATTTTGGAGTCGATTTCCTAAATATTGACATATTTCTTGTATATTGCGACAATTTTGTATATATATTTCAAAATTTCATATATATCTTGAATATTTCATATATTACACCATTTCTTATATATTGCCAACATTCGTATCTTTAGTTACAAACGGCCCTTCATACATTTGAATTCTATTCATAATTTTTTTCCTAAATTAGATTGGGTATTTTATTTAGCATCGCATCAAATCACGATCCATTTTGGTAGCAACAAAAGAGTTATTTGGATATGGTTGCTTAAACTTGCTACAACCAGATTGTACATGCACCTTGGCACATGTCCCTCTTTATGCTTAACTGAAAATAGCCATACATTTTATAATCTAGACTTTACTTCAAAAATCAGAGTAGACTAGTGATTATGAGGTTTTTTTTGGTTCAATTTACCCGCTTTTTGATGGAATGAAACTACACAGTTGCCACCGTCCAATAGCAATCGAGGATTGACTGACCGACGGATCGACAACGGTGCCGGCTTGCGCAGACACCTAAAACGGTTGACTGCGCATGATCCTCAAAAATAAACAACTGTCAGCTGCAATATTACTCGAGTTTTGAGAAACCTGGGTTTAGAAGTCGCATTAAATTATAGCTGTGACAAATCTGACGGCAACGTGGAACGTTCTGGCCCAAAAATCGATTAATCGACAACGATAATCGAATTATTCGATTAATCTAATACCAATAATCGTTCACGTTAATCGATTAATTTTTGCTCCGATTAATCGATTAATCGGTTTTTTTCGATTAATCGCCCATCCCTACTGCAAATGGTGAGAAATCAAAACGTGCGGCGTGCACATGTGCTTTTCATTGCTTCTGAAAAAAGATTCATTACTCAATACGTGATCGACAAGCTTTGCCTCAAGTTCACACGACTTCATCTTTCAGTTGCTACGTATCTTCTGATTTGAATTGCCTCCCTAAAGATGTTCCTAATGTACTACCTTGACGACAACGGAAAGCGAGTTTACACATTCCAGGTAAAGACCCACTCACAGTTCGCTTTTTTCTTGTAGTGTCATGGCCCAAAATTGTCTTGTCACCTGAATCCTTTGGAAAATGGACACTTGTCAGGCAAACTTTGTACTCTACAAGTGAAGAATTCAATACTGCCTTACGCTGAAGTTGATCAAAAATTCAACAAATTATCATGATATTATCTATTTAATGTGTCTTAGCTATACCAGCTGGGTACCATCCTTTGTAAGGATTCTGAAAATGCTAGGATAACCTGCCGAAGAGAATTCAGAGTCAGAGATAGTTGTTTGAAGTGACCCTTAATTAATATGTAGTCTTTAGCTAACTCCTTATTGTATCTTCACCAGGCACTTATCGTCCACAATTAAACGAAGTCTACCAGTAAGAAACAGTTGAATTTTGGGTGAAAGACCCGTCTGGGGGTAATTCTGAATTCATCTACATAGAGCTCGCGCATTGTATGTTGAGACAAACGTCAATCTCCGATTAGCTCTGAATTCGCACCACTCCACGGGTTAGCACATGTAGTCAGGTGGCACCACTGGTGAATGGTGACATGAACAATACTTCGACGTTTGTCTCAACATATGGTGCGCAAGCTCTAATAGTTGCAAGTGGAAGATCAGTAGTAGAAAAAGCACTCGCTCACAAACTAAGAAATAGGTTGGTACATCAAACTATGCAATGTGGTTAAGCCCTTTTGGTGTTCAGTCCTTCTCTTATGGAAGTTATGCTTACCATACATCTTCATCCATGATGATGATACAGAAAGTAAAGGAAGTTCATCGTTGTCACCACATTGGCTACCCCCCCCCCCCCCCCCCAGCATTCTTTACTTAAAATTATTCAACTGAGATAGCTCTTGAAGGTGTCATTAGCAAAGTTTGCAGTTGTTTATATTCTGTTTGCAAGTGACTGTGATGCAGTCATTCAGTACCGATTGAAGATTGACAATGCTTGTGATTGGGCTGCAGTCAATCCTCGATCGCTTGTAAACGGAAAGTAAACAACCACCAACTTAGCTGACAACACCTCAACAATCCTCTGCCAGGTGTCAAATGTGTGAAGATGATTCCTGCTTTTAAAAAAACTCTTCTTTCTTTCAATTCATGCTTCGCAAATTCATAGCGAGGTGAGTAAATTAAATGTCTCACAGTAGACTTGATAAAATGTTATCTTGAAGTCAGACTAACAAAAAATTTGGGGGATTCCTGAAAGTGACTCATTCGACCCCACTTTCCTTTACTGAAGAATTTTTCATGTACCCAGTGAAGTATACTAATTATTTCTATTTTTTTCCCCTGATTTAGAAAGTTGACCCAAAAGGAAACCCCACCATGTCAGCACATCCTGGTAAGATTTTAAGTAATATTTTAAGATAATTTCTAGTTTCATAGATTGAAGAAAGTGTGCAAGCAATAGTGATGCTGTGATTACCTAAACGGAAATAATACCAAATCTTGGATCTGGTCTGAATATAGCAAGAATGAAAGCGCGAGACATGTTACCTTGTACACATGTCATACAGAGCATATCGGCTGTGAAACTCCCAGAGGACGCATCTTGTTTGCAGTGTTTAATAATCTCCAATCCCATTAAATTTTTTGGAGAAGAACTAATCAATATCATTCTTTGAAGTTTTCGCTGAGTTTTCTTTGCACAAAGAAGAATCATCGAAATTTTCAAGAATTTATGCTCAGTAGTTTTCCATTTAACAAATAAAGTATGACAGGAAGTTTGCAACATTGCTAACTGAGATACATGGTCAAGTAGTTTCACAGTTGATATTGAATATATGAAAACGTACATCCCTCACAAGGTTAGTGAAATGAAGGTATGCTCTTCCCAACCTTTTCGGCTAGAACTTGGCTTTTGGCTCCCGCCGCCAGAGTTGTGGTGCGAAGTTGAAATTTCAACAATTTTGCAGTTTTGGCCGAAAACAAATATGACTGCCTGCTGTTGATAAAAATGAAAAAAAGAGCTAAAATACTAAAAACAAATGAATATTCATTTTTAAAGAATTCGCAAGCATTGAATTTTTTCAGGACGGTTTTTTTTGTTTTTAGCCAAGACTGCAAGACTGCAAATTCAAACTTCGAGCCACAGCTCTAGCAGCGGGCGTCGAAAGCTGAGTTCTGGCCGGAAGGGTTGAGAAGAGCATATCTTCATTTCCCTTACCTTGCATCCCTTATACTCTCGGAACACTTCATAGCCTGCTGTTCTTATCCTGAGAGTAGCAATTATATGGAAGCAAAAATTGCCCTACTCCGGAGTAATATTTTATACATTGAAGATAAATTTGAGAAATCTGGTTTGAAGCACCTAGTGTTTTTCTTAGCACAGCTGTATTACATTCTGTGTTACTTTCATTTGAACTTGGTATGAATATCATCTTGAAATATCAAAATTGTACTGCTGTTATTTTTCAAATTTTCACTTTTCTCATGAAAACTAATTTTCTCATCATCATTTCAATTTTCAACAAACCATTATTAAACATATCTTTATATTATGATCTGTTTAGCTCGATTTTCACCAGCAGACAAATATTCCAGAGAAAGGATCATGATCAAGAAGAGATTCGGTCTTTTGCCCACTCAACAGCCTGCAGACATCTACTGAAAGTGGAGCTTTTAATGTCATCCTCTTTATCTAAGTATTGCCATTCTACGTAATTCAATTTATACAAAATGAAAAAAGATTGGAATCAGTGTTCACAATCCTTGCTAGTCCACAATTCAAAAATAATATCAGTCAAGCCATCAATTGTGAATGGTGTGGATTTAAAATGGCTCTAAATATTATTCAAGTCAGTAATTGAGAGCACACTTAAAGATTAATGAAGCCAGATTTGCATTTAATCATGAGGTCCAATGGACCAAATTTTGTTGAAAGCAGTATATACAATTTACCACTCTATCTGATATCCCATAAAAACTCATCATGTTGATCTCAGTGGGATTTTTAATTTGAATTATTAATAAAAATTATGATAAATGATAATTAGTTTGTGAATCATTGCACTACTTCTACCTGATAAATAAATCTTCTAAGGCAAGCGTTTTTTCCTCAGTCGAAATTCATAATTGCCTTTTTGAGACTTGAATCTGAGAAATGCCTTCTCATATAGTTAAATGAGTAATTGCAAAGATGCTAGTTCTCTTAACCCATTCGCATGTCATTTAAAATGCGCCGGCCGCTCCTAGGTGTGCCATTCATTTTTCAATAAAAATGCTTAGTTGCTTCGTAAAAAAAAAAAAAAAAAAAAAAATCATCAAGATTTATTCAGGTTAGCAACAGAATACTCCATAATGTTATTAGGAACAATGCTAAAGCTATCTATCGAAAATTTGGAGAAACATGATGAAAAAAATTGCCATGCAACGCTGCGAAATGGTGCGCCATGACGAGTTCACATGCGATTGGGTTAAATTTTGCGTGAAGTTTAGTCAAACATTCAGAAAAAGATTAATTTGAACATTGAACCGTTGCCTACAAGAATGGAGAGGCCGTAACTATGATTCTGTGACGTCACACTAGAAGATGAAACTCACAAGGGGAACTTCCCAAGCTGCCGCCTCCGATCGGGCTGAAAAAATTCATACGAACTCTTTGGATGAATTTATTTGACCCGTATTTTTTTGTTTTTTCCAATGCCCCCCAGAAACACCCCAAAAAAATTCCGGAAAGTTTTGCTTTGAGTACTTGAGTCTATATACGCAGTATAGCAGCTCCCACTTACCGTTAAGTGGTGGCTCTGCGGTAGCGCGCTCGCCCAGTGATCCGGTGGGCCCGGGATCGATTCCCGGGTGCCGCGCCACATTTTTACGACCGAATTTTATATTCTCACACATTTTCACATTGATTCCCATTTGATACATTAGAACTTAAAACATCAATTAATTTACAACCATCATCAAACACAAATTGATCTACGATCAATAACTTCTTCAATTTGAAGTATAGATTTTTTTTGTGGATAATGACGGGAAAAATCATGACGCATACGGGTGATCGGGAGAAATATGTTGATGTGAGGGGGCGGAGCGGGTCGTCGGCTAATGTAAAAGTACAGTGATTGGCGAGATAATCGCGCGCGTATCCCCCCCCCTCCCCAAAAAAATCTATACTTCAAATTGAAGAAGTTATTGATCGTAGATCAATTTGTGTTTGATAATGGTTGTAAATTAATTGATGTTTTAAGTTCCACTGTAATAAATGGGATTCGATGTGAAAATGTGTGAGAATATAAAATTCGGTCGTAAAAAGTAGGCGCGGCGCCCGGGATTCGAACCCGGGACCGCTATCTCACCGGGCAAGCGCGCTACCGCAGAGCCACCGCCGACTATTGAGAATTGGTTGCCATACTACGTATATACGCTCGAGCGCTCAAAGCAAGACTTTCCGGAATTTTTTTGGGGGGTTTCTAGGGGGCGTTGGAAAAAACAAAAAAATACGGGTCAAATAAATTCATCCAAAGAGTTCGTATGAATTTTTTCAGCCCGATCGGAGGCGGCAGCTTGGGAAGTTCCCCTTGTCAGCCGCGGTTTAACACGCGTTCTTATGGGAGAATGCTTGCCGCGCAATGATTTCTCGCTGATATCTTTTTCAGGGTTGATCTGACGCAAAATTTCATAAGAACCTTTTCGAAAGAGGATAAAATTTTACTTTAGAAAACTAACTAACCCATCGGTGACATTGTCTAAAAATTGAGGAAATGAAAGTATGATGCCGTAAATCGTTACTCCACTCAGATTCAAACGGGCCGCTCTCGCAACTTCGGCCGATCAAGGGCCACTCTGATTGGTCCACGCAGCGACTGCCTCACTCATCGATGCACCGATGACCCGGAGATGCTTGTTGTTTTCGGTAAATATCTACTAGCTTGACATCACACAACTGACTAGTTACGGCCTCTCCATTCTTGTAGGCAACGATTGAACTAATTTGTAAGCACAGCTGCCGTCTTCCTCCAAGAATATTTCAAGCGGCAGAAAGAAAAAAAGAATTGAAAAAAAATTAAAAATTGAGCCACACTGATATTGCACTTCACTGTACGAATAGAGCTAATGTTGGCCTTGAGCAGGCTCTCCCACCATCTCTCATTTTAACTAGGGCAAAATTTCACCAGGTCTTAAAACTTCAATCACCCCTGTGAATAAATTACGGATGTCAGCTTGATATTCAGACTAAGCCGTTACTGTGCAAATAATGAGCTCAATCAATTAAGGGCCACATTGAAGTTTACACCTCAGGGCCTTCGAAAAAAGAGCACATGTACATCTGGTGTTGCTAAGACACTGCAGCGTTGCTAACCTCTAAAAATTTACTTAACTGTGCACAAAATAACGCATTAACAGAAATTACCTTATCCTATTAGAAAATGTTTCAATGGATTTACATAAAGATAAATGCCTCTGATCGAGGAAGAAACTTTAAAAGCTTCACTATTATAGCAATGACAGATATGCATTCACGCCCTTTCTTGGAATGGTCTTTCATATTTTAAGGTGATACTTTTTAAGAAACAGCAACAAGCTCTTGGATAAAAAGGAGAAAATAAAAAATGTGGATGTAGCATACATTTTGTGATTCAAAATGAAATAACTCACTTTTCAGAATATTGTGTCAATGGGTCTCCAAAAGTCTCATGAAAATGCAATTGTTGCAGCATATGGTATTCAGTCTCTCCAGAGTTTCATAAAATTGAGCACTCAATGTAAAGGATTTTTGATGATATAATTAGGTTGATTGCTACGATTGGGATGCACTGATAAATACTGGCTTTTGCTGATCCGTTCAAACCTCTTTCAGTCATCTTCTTATTTTTATTTATTTATTTTTTTTGTGATCTGTAATCAAATTTCTTAGATTATCATTGGATGGAAAAACGACACAGACTAGATAATAACGAAAACAAATAGAAACTAGAAACAAAAAGCATTTTCTGTAATTATAAGGTCCGCGATTCTCTTACACCCTATCACTTCGCATTTATCTCATTACAATATTTTGAGTTTCGTTCGCTTTTTTCAAAATGCTTCCGCTTGATGATGGCTTGAAGAGTCCAACAGCTAAATCAGCCAAGAAAAAGCAAAAAATCAGCCCCAAAAAAAGGTAAATGTTTTATAAATGTTAAAAAATTGAAGCAGGGATGCGAGTCTCACTTAAAAGAACAAGTACAGCAACAATTTCAGCTTCGTCAAAAAATAGACCTGAGGAAATTCTTGAGTCTGTTAGGTAGGGATAAATTTTAGTTCTGAGAATTTACTTTTGATAGGTTGTCAAAAGCAAATACATTTATATAAATTCTTTTATTTATGCTGACTATCACTTATGATGCTCTGTCTGTATGGAAGAAACTGGTCTATACTTGGGCCAAATTAATTCCAAAAAATCAGTTTAGGAATCAGTTAAATTTTGATTCAAACTGATTTGGCCAAATGAAATTAAGGAAAGTAATCTTAAGTTGTGATTGACTTAACCAAAACTCGGAGGAAGTATGAGTAAGTACACAATGCATTAAATCTCACTGAATTATATCAATGAAATAAGTGAGTAACAATGTGTGATAAATTGTGAATTGTGAGGTTTAAACAAGAATTAACAGCTTCAAGACTGAAATAATGAAAATAAAGTACTGAAAGACTGGAGCTCTGTAAAAATAAAATTTATTTTTTACACTGTATACCAAAGAGTAATACGTACTTGTAGAGGTGCAATGATGTTTTGACTTAAAATTGAACGATGAAAAGCTAAAAAGTGCAACAAAAAAAAATTCATCAGTAGTAACAAAAAGGAAATTTTCCTACCAATTTGTAAAATATGAATGGTTTGGCATGAACAAGACAAAATGACTTCAACTCCCTCGGATTACGGTAGTCCTTGAATCTCTGCAACAAAGAAAAAATATTTGATCTTTAGATTATATGCATACTTACGACAGATTCAACTTAAAATAAAGGAGGGGTATCGATAAGGGCCTTTTTTGCCCCCCCCCCCCTTGCAATCTGGAAATTTAAGCAGGTTTTCCAAGTTGACTCAATGTAGTTTACAGAAATAATCATGATTTGGTCCATTGGCCACTGGAAACGTTTAAAATGATTGCCTGAACATACGTCTGCAGGCGTATTTTAGCGAAAATGCGTGTTTTTCTATCACTCTGAGGCTTTCTTGACACCGGGCACATTGTCTATTACTAAAAAGAGCTTTTGATATGTTATCAAGGAGACTTAAGGACACATTTTAACCCTGGCTTGGTTTTAGTTAGATGATGTGCTCATGGTTAAAAAAAACTTTTTCGAAAGTCAACTTTTAAGGGATATCCGCAAAAATCTAAAGGAATTACATTGTTATAGTTTTTTTTGGCTATGTACTTCTTATAAGAGTTTAACAAGGCTTGATAACTGCCCTAGATAATATACATAGCGTGCATACAGTTGGAGAGACGTGTTTCCCTAAGATTTTTGCGGATGTCCCTTAAAAGTCGACTTTTGAAAAAGTTTTTTTTAACTATGAGCTCATCATCTGACTAAAACCAAACCAGGGTAAAAATGTGTCCTATGATAACATATCAAAAGCTTGTTTTAGTCAGACGATGCGCTAGGTGTCAAAAAAGCCTCGGAGTTAAAGAAAAGCACGCCCTTTCGCTAAAATACGCCTGCCGACATATGTTCAGGCAACCATTTCATATTTATCCAGTGGCCAATGGACCAAATCATGATTATTTCCGTAAACTACATTGAGTCAACTTTGAAAACCCACATAAATTTCCAGATTCTAGGAGGGGCCAAAAAACACCCTCATCGATACCCATCATTTTTCTTATCTTATTTACTCAGAAACATTAGAGGCAGAGTATTATTTTGAAAAAATGTTATATCATCAGCGTTCTGGCAAGACATGCAACTTTTGAGAGAGATAAAGTTCGGAGACCACTGTCTTGCAAAGTACGAAAATCTTTTAATCATTGTAATAACAACTAAATATTCACTTTTGTTTGCAAGCTCAGTTAAGCTGAAGCCGTCCAATGCGTCAAGATCTTTTTGTGCACTACCTGTGGGAATTTGTTTGAATGCATTCACCTATGGAGTAAAGACAAAAGCACTCATCGACAGTGCTACTCCTAAACCATGTATCACTATTTTTTTCGATTTTGAGTTAGCTGTAGAAATAAAGTGCAGGAGAAGTGCAGCCATAATCAAAATACATTTGTAGAAAAAATCTGGAAGTCACCTAAAAATGAAGAATTTAAAACACATATCTCGATGCTATTTCCAAACAAACTTTTCTTGTGATGCAGCGCAGCATTCATACATAGCCCTCTCTCCCGCAAAGAAACGTGGACAATTTAGAGATATATAAAAAAAAGAAAGAACTATCAAAGTTAAGTATTTTTTTTTCTCCGAGTGCTCATTTGGTTTACTATTTCTGGTCATTTATTTTTCTAAAACAGCAACCCTTCTTTTATAAATTATTGAATAGTAGAGTGACAACTCTTAATAAGAAGGATAGAAATTTTCTATACTGTTTTCCAAAAGTTGTCGAAGGGAAAATTGAGGACCACAAATAATGCATACGTGGCAAACTGTCTCCTCAGTTAAAAATGAAAGAAGGAAAGGCACAGCACGTCCCTGAAACCTCAAAGGTGAACCAGGATGGGTCCTTCTTTTACACAAACAAACATACTTGGAGATTTGGACTGCATTTTGCAATTTGGACCTATAAATTCTGGCTTATCTGAAAAAACACTTATGTGCATAGGGAAACTAATGGCACATACGTTGTTTTTAAACCGGGCCGGGATTTATAGGTCCAAATTGCAAAATGCAGTCCATTTGTGGTTTCGCACTTGAGGGCAATGAAATAAGAGCGGATATTCTTTTTTTTATCAATGTTGCATACATGCTCGATTGAAGGTGACTTATAACCCGAGAAGGAGATCTGTCGTTTTCATCATGTTGCCGTGTAATAGAGGCGCTGTCTGCAATTCTACAAATGAAGGTAATCGTAGAATGCTGGTCATGTAACAAACCAATGGGAGAAGGTCTTGTTTTTCTTTTTCAGGTTTCCTACCCCCTTTTCTGTCCCTCCATCTTCAGCTTCAATATACTTACTAGATACTATTTCAATGAAAGCCGTTGTTGCTGGAGAATCTGAGAATTCTTGAATAAAATTCCCTCCTTCATCACAACTTTGAGCTAAGCGAGGATCTAGGGGTACCTTGCCTAACAGAGGTACATTCAATTCAGCGCACATCGCCTCTGCTCCTCCAGTGTTCTTTGGAAAAATCTCTGAAGATTGCTGAAAATTAAAAACCAATCATGATTATTATGAAAGTTCAAATAATTAGCCTTTTTGGCACTTCTTCAGTCTATTTTGAGTAAGCTGGTCAAGCTCATGGCATTCTATCGTCCAATATAATTTCGAGTGAATTCATTGAACATAGAAAGAGCAAGTCTATCATATTAAAGCACTCTACTTGAGAGAGTGCTGGATTTTACAAATTCCAAGACAAACAATACCTTATTCAATAAAAACACGAAAGGTGAGCTCTGGGAAAGAATGAAGATAATGATTTATGGCTAAAAACAATATCAAATCTTTGTTATCTGGTGCGTAGTGACAAAAAAACTTCCAGACCGCATACATTCATCGTTTACATCATTTTTTAAAGTTTTCAAAGACTTTTTCATACAGAGAAGAAAAATGATGGAAGTTTTCAAGAATTAACGTTGAGGAGTTTTCCTAAAAAGGAAAAAAAAAGAAAGAAAAAAATTGACAGGAAGTCTACAAAGTCTCATACTACATTACGTGGTTAAGAAGTTTCACTGTCGATACGTTTTTTACCACATAACATTAGGGGTGTTCAAACGAATTCTTGCCGGAACACTATCGACATCGTCTCTTATTGAAACTGGCGGCAGTACCGACATAGACCATGATATCGACAACAACCGGCCTTATCGGAGTTTTGAGAGCTCGCACTCAATACATTGTTGCCCCGTGTGTCGGTTCAGATTGCCTGGCGCGGCGGCGCATAAAATAGATGTACAATTGGCAACAGCTTATTTTCGCTAGCTCCGAAAACTCTGATCGCTATCGACAAGAGCGCTCTTATCGTAACTTTTTCTTAACGGAACTGTTTCGGTGGCTTACCGACAACCGATTGAACAGCCCTACATAACATTGCTGCAATTATGCATGTAAGGCATGTATTATATAAATACACTAATTTTTACATACTTGTAAAAAAACATTTTTGTGACTATTTCTCAAATCATTTCAAGGAAAGAAGAATTCTAAGTCAATCTCACCTTACAATTTGAACAAATGAATGATGTCATATTTTCAACTACTCCAAGAATAGGAATACTTGTTTTGCGACAAAAATCTATTTCCTTCCTGACGTCTAGCAGGGCTACCTCTTGAGGGGTTGTCACAACTATAGCCTGAAGGTTGTTCATACATTTCAGATACTGCACAATTGACAAATGCTCATCAGAAGTTCCAGGAGGTGTATCAATGATCAGAAAATCAACAGTATCACCCCAGTCAACTTCACTGAGGAACTGACGAATCATACCTGTGAGAAGAATAGAGAAAACGTGTCAGATACCATAAATTAATTTTTCTCAAAAGGATTTCCATTAAGAAACATTAAAAGTTTTCGCTGCCTGAGTGGTTTAGTTGTTGCATTCTGTCTTTTTTATTCCTGTTAAACCTTGTCTTCACGGGACGTTTTCATGGGTCATTTGTCCCAGGTTCGAATCACAAGAATGAAACTTGTGGGATTTTTCCCAGTCATTGTCTCCAAAGGACAAGGCTATCGCGCTCCTGCGGGAAGATAAATGAGCAAAAATCGAATATTTAACCACGATCAAGATAATAACTGAACATGATTAACAATTAGACAACTTATTTTGATTAAACAAACAAACAATCGAGTAAACAACAAAATATTGCACAATTCGCTTTCACTTCTTCTTCCTCTCTCCATTGGTCTAAGGGGTGCAAGGAACATACTTAGCACTGGGAAAAATATTGATTTACTCAATATTTTTCCCGACTTTGTGAGAGGGATTTTTCCCTGGGACAAATCCCAAGAAACGGCCCATGGAGACAAGGCCTAAGAATACAGAGAAAATTGATGAAAACCACCAAGGAATCCCAAGTAATAAAAGGGAAATACATTGACCATTTACTCATTCATCACGCTTGCCCTTTAGCTCCCAACAGTTGAAATCATTGTTAAGTTTGCGGTTTGGTAAATATGGTGCCTGAAGGGTGCAATAAGTAGACTCTTCTCATTCTGCGCATCCCTTTACAGGGAATCTCAGTTGGAAATCGCAAATTTTCTGGTAGGTTGGAAAGACAGACATGGCAAAGTAGGATTATACCTGTGGAGTTCCGTACCCCATGATTGCCTGTTCACAGTGCAAGGCGGTGAGCGGCGCATCTCATCAACGTGGAAGCTTTGAGATAGCTAGAATTGAATTCATTTTCTTTTTGTCAAAAGCAATTATGTTTCATCCAGGCAAAAATGCCCGTTATATAAATCAAATAAATAGCTGCAATGGGATTCCCGTTACAAATACTCACCAGTTTTTTTGGGCCCTCTCCATATGACAGCATCATCAGGACTACTGAGCAAGAATCCAACAGACATCACAGAAAGATTGTCATCAACGAACTAAAATAACAATTCAATATTAAAATCAATGGAATTCTCTTAAATGATATCGAATTATTAACAAGAAACAATGTTACTAACAATACTTAGCATTGTTAAGACTATAAAAATCATACCTGTAAAGGGTACTTGAGCGCCAGAATTCACAATTTTTTTCCTTAGAAATTAATTGTGTAATAAATTTTGAGGTTCAGCTTTCAATAAATAGAAGAAGAGTCACCCCGAGTTAAAAGGAACTTATTTTAAGAAAGAGAAAATAGCCTATTACAAATCAAGATGCAGAGCTAATTTTAATCATTTACAAAAGAAAAAATCAAATATGCTTTTGAATGAACATTCTTGATTATCTCCCTGTGGCTCTTCCAAATTAGGATGATCATTATTTTACCAGAGAATTCCAAACCAACACTAGTTTCCCCCTCGAGATGGAAGCTTTTTATAGGAGTCGGTCTGCCATAATAGAAATTGATCCAGACACAAGTCAAAAATATAGAAAATCTCATTCAAATGTAATAAAAGTCAGCTCTTTGAAAAATTGATAGATCCAAAAAATAACGTAGGTTTTACATGGTGGCAAGTGCTCTAACACACAGATTTACTCACAGAAAAAATAGCTACAGATATTTCTTACAAACTTCCTTTTCCTCTTTGCAACTAGTATTTAACGGTAATTTTCTGACTTCTGTTTTGATTGAAATTGTCTGAAATATTTCTAAGGAATATTTTCCTCAGGATCTCCCGCCAATAAAATTTACTCAGGCCAAGAAATCCAAATTTTCCATCCAAATTCCTCAATTTTTCAGATGATTTTCGAACATTTTCACAATTAATAAGAATTTCTACGTTATATCAGTGATGAACTCTTTTTGAGTGCTTGCCATGCTGGTCTTTCAAATGAAACCCACAGCACCTACAAATGAGCCAATATTGAGCAAGGATCTGTTTCTTTTATAATGAGCCCTGCGGAGCATACACATGTATATAGACAGTGAAACTCCCAAACCTCATATCTTGTTTGGGTGTTTAAAAATATCCACTTATATTTTATTTTATTAAAGGAGAACAAATCAGCCTCATTTTTGGAAGTTTTTTCAGAATTAAAAAAAAATCACAAACGTTCTTGAGAATTGATGTTGAATAGTTCTCCAATTAAAAAAATAAAGTATGACAGGAAGTCTACTTTATCGCAAATCAAGATACATGGTTGTGGACTTACACCGTCGATGTATCTCAGAACTTATTAGATCATGAACATATTCTTTTTGTAAAAATATGGGATCAGATAGAGATCAAGATGGATTATGGTTATTTTTGATTCATTAAGTTTTTATCACATACCACAGGGGACCATCCAGAGCCACTTTGATGCACCTGTAACAAAGACAGTAATAGTATATACTACTACAATAAAAGTCAATATGAACTGTGAAACAATCCAAAATAGGTCTTGCATTAGGAGACTGTTCAGAGCAGGAATTCGTTACTGACTCTTTCAGGAACATAAAAAATGCATTTTAGGTACAGTTTAGGGCAGCTTTTTCTGACTATCACTTAAATAAGGAATCATAACACACATCATTACCATGACGACAGGAGAAAAGTAGGCAAGTGTGTGAGTCAGTTAATTGTCAATAGTTTTTTTTCTTTAGATGACCTTGCATACCTCAATAACAGACAATGCAATGTGTACTTTCAACGACTACACAAAGGTCAAATTTTAAATACAGCAAATGGAATAAGAAAATTTGGCTCTTATTCAAAGTAACTCATGAGCAATAATCATCTTGAATATTTGAAACAAAAAACATGGTAGATGATCACTTGACAACCATAAATTGATTTTCCTCCTGCAAATAAAGCAAGTGGCGCAGCCATTTTTCAAACCATTTTATAACTAAAATTCCCTGTATACAAATATTATGTTTAAATAGAGACGGACACGTTAGATTTTAACAAAGTTGCTCACCTGTTCATTCAACACACCCATGACTCGGGGCATAGAAGGCCCACATACGTCAATGTCCAGGACAGCGATCTGAGAAAAAATGAATGAGGCATTACAAATTTGATAATTATAATTTTTATAAAATAAAATTCAGCAATGTCAGTGTCTGTTTCCCTCAAAAAAGAAAAACCTGTATCTTGAGTCTAAAAGTTTTACCTGCGTCACAGATCACCATATGAAAAAAAGAAAGCTAGATTGGGCTAGCGATTTTTAGAGCCCAAAACAAGCTTTTCAAATTTTAGTCTCGTTACAAAATACTGTGCTACTATACTGTAAAATTAAAACCAATTTTTCAAGGAGTGCCTACTTATTCCATTACTAGATCTGAATAATAACATTGTCATCCCACCTATGATAATAAAGAGAGAAAGGATGAGTGGAGAGAAATATACTTTCATAAAAAGAGAAAAGAGAAACATCTAAACATCACAGAGATAAACTAAAATCTATAACTGAGGGAATGGGAAATAGATTGTAAGGCCTCCTTATGAGGTCAGCTGTCAAACTTCATACATTGCAATAAATACATGCAAGACATGCAATGTTCTGCTTACTATTGATAAAACCTGGAGTTGCAGGCTGATACGCTTTCATTTGACATTTTACGAAACACAGAGAGTTGAACGAGCTGGTGAAACTTTGTAAAATAGTGGTATTAATGAGTAGTGAATCACGAATTGTTTTCGTTGTTTGAAAAAAGAATAAAACAAAATTAGTCCTTAGTACTTCAAATTAGAACAACAAACAACCCTAGTTTGAAACACAGGCTCTCATTAATTTTGAGGAATACTTCGGATCTTATGATTATCGTGCTTTGGAAGTGAGTATCAGATTCAATCAATAAGAATTTTTTCCCTTCCTTTGCCTCATGATACTTGGATCCTTTAAGATCGCTTGCATGAGGCGTATCCAGACATGGATACATTTGGTTCCAACAACCCAACATTGCGCAATTCCATTGAGCTTTGATCGGTTTTTATGAGCTTTGATTAATACTATAACATTCTTGATTGATTTTTTTTTATTCTAATTGATATTATATAACAAGAACAGATTTCCACTGGCTGACAAATTACCAAGTTGACTAGCATTCCAAATGAGAATTAAACATTGCAGATTAGGTAGAGAATGTGGCATGATTCTCCAAGCATCTGACAAACCTTTGAAACGTCAAAATGAAGGAGGTGTGGATGAAGAAAATGTATGACTTAAAATAATTCAAAGCTAATTTAAGAATTCAGCTGGTGAACTGAATGAAAGTAAGTGGGAGAGAAAGCATGGATTTATTATAAATAAATTAAGGGGGAGAATATTTGGTGACTAAAGGGAACAAGGAAAAATAAAATGCTGGCAGGTTGAATGTTGAATTGAAAACATAGTGCACCCTGATGAGAAACAAAAACTGAATGAGACTTGTATGAAAGGGAGTTATAACAGGGGGAGGGCCTGGATAGAGGAAGCCCATTGAGAGAAGTAGCAAAATCAATAAATATGACAAGAGAGAATGGTGTCAGGCAAGCCAATGCATGTGCTGCAGAAAGGCATAGAAACTGACTGAGGCAGGAGTAACCTGATACAAACAATATGTTCACCAAACATGACACGCTTTAGCTGACAGTCATATTCATTCAGTGCTGTGTGTAATATTGTTAGCAGCCTATACCATCCTGACTCATCTAAGGCCCAATCATTTCAGTTCAAGAAGATTTATTTTTTAATTTGAATTTCTGCAAGTATTTTTTTATTGTAACTTAGCCTGTTTGTATTGTAACAGACAGTATTTTGATGGCAAATTAAAAATGATGGAGTTAACGCTTTTCTGATACGGTCAAAAGGTGGTGCTTAAAAGAAATAGTTAGTTGGAAATCAAGCGATCACCTCCTTCTAAAAAGTTTTTTTCAACAGTCTCTAGGCAAAATATACACCGATCTAAATTCCATTTTCTCTGCAAAAAATATCTTCCATCCCTCAAGCCTACTTTTTCAGAGATAAAAAAAATATAACTTGGTGTCAAAAACCAAGAGTGTAAAACCACAATTCTGGACAAGGAGTTATGCCATTATTGCATCAACCAGTTCAACTGAAATGGCATGTGCATGAAAATGATTGAGGGGGTTTAGGGAAAACTTGCGCCACGCTGGTGAATTTTCAGGTCAAACTATGTCAGATAGAATACAAAAACGATATTGTAGTTCCTGGTGCCTGTTGCAGATAAGTAACTTGTCTTTTTCGCAATATGAGTAGGATGCGGTATCCCATTCCCCGCGCATACAGCGGATAAAACAAGTTATCTGAAACAGCCGTTAATTATTTCTATATTTAGGGTGGGTACTTGTACATTGATCTATCTTCAGATGCTGTGCCTCTTGAATATCTTTTTTTCAATATGACAGCATCACCTTCATAGAAAAACCATTTTAATGAGGCATTAATTATTGAGTAGACTACTTGAGAAAAATACTGATGAACTCTTGGACTATCAAAAACAGTATATACTTATTCTAAGTTGAAGCTCTCCTTCTCATTTATAGTACAAAAAAAATACAAAATGAAATACTTTACATTTGAATTTGCATCTTTTGCAGCCAAGGTCCTTGCCAATAGAGAAGTGAAAGTGCTCTTCCCAACACCGCCTTTACCAGAGAGAACGATTATTGTGTTTTTCACTGACGATAATCTTGCTTTGACCTGCTCAGCACCTGAAAACCACCATTGACAAGGTGATTGGTGAACAAATTTATACTGCGATTAAATCTCCGATACTTACATTCACTAGGGTCTGGCCAACCCTAATGCCTGTAAAATCCAATGTTAAAAAAATTAAACTCCTAGAGCACTCCTAGCACTCCTAGGTGCACTTCTTGCATAAATGAACAACAATTTTTAAGGTTTGTAAGTACATTTTCAATGCTTCAATTAGATACTGTGAGTGATTCTATTAGGGCAAACTCAAAAAATACTTTCAGTATGTAGGAAAAATATATGGATTTAGAAGAGATGTAAACCTCAGCCATGCAGCATACATATCGACGGTGAAAGTCGGCAATCACATAACTCGTTTGCGGTGTCTGAAAATCTCCGCCTCTACGTCATTTTTTTAAAGGAGAACAAATTGATATTATTTCTTGAAGTTTTGGCAGAATTTTCTTCGCATTGAGAAGAAAAATCATGACAGTTTTAAAGAATTGCCGTTGAGTAGTTTTCCATTTAAAAAATAAAGTATGACAGGAAGTCTGCGACGTCGCAAACCGAGTTATGTGATTGCCAGCTTTCACCGTCGATATGTCCTATGTTTGAATCTAAGGTTCTATCCATACTGGTTGATGGTAGTGACACCGTAAAAAAATGCCTTGCTTTTGAAAACTTACAAATTAGGTATCTTCAACATTGGAGGCGTAAAGTTTCGGAACTTAGACTATTGTTCGATGTAGATTACGATGGGCTCCTTCTGTACTACCCTCCGTAAAAAGTATTGCTTTAAAATTACAATCTTTCATGACAGCTAAAATAATCGTTATAATGCACTTACTTAAATCTGGACCTCGCGCGACACCTGAGGCACAAATTGATTGATTGGGACAACCCTGGCAAGCTGACCCCTTCCCAGCTGAGTCACTTTCGACCCCTGGGCAATCTGTATAATGAAATGAAAACACTTTAAAAGTTAGTAAAGTGAAAAACCTGGAGTTGTAGTTTTTTCACTGGGAGTACTAAAATAAGTTTTAAAAGAAAAATAGAGAAAAACTTTGATCAATTTTTTGAAAATGGTTTGGCTTGTGGAAAAAAGTCTCGCCTCAAAAAGATTTGAAACTGAATTATTGGGCTTTCTTTAAGCCAAACTTCAGAGGATTGCGATGGAACACAACGAAACTATTCACTACTATATCCCAGTCCATTAGCACAGTCCTTGCATGCATTTCAGTGGAACCCTTGGATTTTCAGGTTGTCTACAAGTTGTAAAAAACCAAAATTAGGGACTTTTGGGGACTTATAGGGGTGTTTTTTCAAGAAAATCGGGGACTTTATAGCCCCGAGATAGTAAGAGAAAGGGAGCTATTTAGAGCGTTAAAAGGCGTATTTTATACAACTAATTTTACAAGTCATGTTGAACCGATAACAACATATGAAAAACCAAGCAACACTTCAGTTTTTTATTCCTGGTTACACCGCGCCGCCGCCGCTGGCGAGACAATTAAAAAATGCCAGTGTTCCGGACCAGTTTTGTCAGTTATTGGGAACCTGAACAAGAAAATTGGGGACTTTCAGGGATATCAGGGACCCCCTTTCAAAATCAGGGATAAATGGGGACTTTTGGGGACCAGTAGACACCTTGCTTTCATTTACTGAGATGGGTTATGAGCAATTATGTGCAATCCTATCCTCAGCCAAGATGCAAACGCAAATCCATTACAATCCATGTGTTTCATGGATAAGAAAAATACCCTTTAATTTTGAAGCATTCTGCCAAAATCATCAACCGTTATAATCTAGGTATCTTTCATCAGACTATGTATGAGGGTTCTGCAGAGATGCGGATGTCATACTTACGGTACCCATCTACATGATGGAATAAACAAATAGATGACCCTTGCTTCCTCCCTCTCCTCCCAATAAATGTTCATTCCTTGGAAATGAGTGTACTTAGATCATGAACCTACGGTACCTCAAAAATATCAGGATGGAAATACAAACATGAAAATGGATAAGGTGAAACTTACGTTCGGGAGCATCCTCTGGTTTCGTAGCCATTCACAAGAGCGACTGTTCCTCCTTCAGCAAGGCTTGGTCAGTTTTAAAAACTTAAGAAGGATGAACAAATGATTACTGAGATTTGTGGAAATATTAGACCTGATATCTCCTGGACTTAGAGAATGGCTAGACCGACCACAGTGACCAGAATTTAATAAACTCTTTCTTCAGATACTCCTACATTACATTTGGAGGTCTTGGACAACATAGCAAATGGAAAATACTTGTTTCTACCTTGAAAAGTATTTATTTCATCGTCTTGTTTCACACGTTCACGTTATCAGTGAAAATTATCAAATGAAGAAAACAAAGCGGAGTTGCACCGTCCCTTATCATTAGCCATTCAGAGAACTTAGTTTGCGAACCGGAAACGAGTACCCACCGGAAAAGCTACATTGAACCGGAAATGCAGCGCCCTTAGCAGCGGGACTTTTGAAATATTTGAAAGCGCGTCCAGACAGGACTGGATGTAAAATTCTTTAATTTCAATCGCGGGGTAGAGCGTTGAAACAATGAATATTGAAGTGAAATCCCTCATTCATTGAACGTTTCCTTCTAAAGTTCAACTTCATCCACATCTGCTGTTCTCTTAATTTCCTGATATACGTAAATAAAGAAAAATGATAACATCACTTCATGTAACCATAGAAACACCTTTAGTTAGTGAGTGTTATCTGTGGTCTAAATAGACGTTGACTGTTACAATAAAACACAAATAATACAAGTGCTGTTTTTTATTCTGTCAAATACACTCAGCCATGAACACAGCTAATCACAATTGGCTTAAAAAAGAATATGAGTGTCCAGTACAAACCTGAGTAGGTGGAGCTACAAAATGGATCATAACAGACTCGCTAGCTAGGAGATTGGAATGAACTCAGTAAGTCACTTGAGTGCTAAGGACAACCAATACTTAGCCCATTTTTTCATCACTGTTTTTAATTATCTTTTAATGATAAAGTCACAGCAACAAGACAAACGTTACACTTACTTATGGTTATACAGATTAAAATGATGGTAAATATGAGTGAAACCTTTTTTGCTGCTAAATTTCACTAACATCTCAATAACAGGAGCATTCCTAAACTGAGGGCATATTTTCCATTTTGTCGTTACAACTTTTTGTCCTCAGATTACTTAGGATACAGCATTATTTTTTTTCCCAAAAGAAAGTAATCGTACTTCATGAATTCACTTACCTTACTTATATACTTGTTTTGATGTACTTACAAAATTGAGATTTATAACTTACATCTGCTTCACTTTAATTTTTTGCAGCAATTATTGCCATGGAGCTCTACAAATGTAAACCCATGCTCCGACACTTCGAAGACAGTAGCTCCTTATGGTGCATACTCTTCACACTTGCAGTCAATAACACAACCTCATCAGTGGAGACAGCCCGCAGTTGGATATGACACAACAGAAGTGGTGCCATTGTGAGGAAATCAATTATTATTTTTCCTCTTCTTTTGTTGGTCTAACGTCTCGATTATGGTGAAAATTGAAAAACATATTTACACCTAAATTCAAGCAATTGACCAAACAGCATCTGAATTTATGCAATATGTTACGGAGTGTTAAAAAAATTTCATATGGAAATCTGTTTTTATAATACCTACGAATTTCTCAAATCAGCTCCTCAGCCAAATAGTATGAATTACCTATAGTTCACATTAATTAATTTGAAAAAATAGTCATATTGACCAATAATGAGATTAAACGTATGAAATTAAGAAATCATTTGCTTTAGATTTTGCAAAAATATTCCTCTTCCTTTCAAGTATATTTATCACATCCTGCTTTATTCAAAGAAAATTAGCACTTGAGAAAATTCATCGATCATGAAAAAAAAATGTCTCTAAACTTGTTTCAGACCACCACATTCCATTACAGCCAGCATGATTGACCCCTGCTACACTTCTCCATCTGCAATCGCCACAGAACCAGTGAAGTTTCCAAATTTAGTTAACAGACCGAACAGAGATCAATCTCATGTGGCGCGGGCTGCTATTTACTCCCGCTTCACTCCTCATGAATGGACGCAAAGCAATCTCAACTACTTCAATGAAGCCGATACCAATCGTAATTTATCAGAGAGGTTACGATGTGATGCTCTCCGTGTTATGAGGTAGATTTATTTACTTCTCAGAGGGTAAATTTAGCCAGGTACCCTAAAGCGCACCGTAAACATTGAACAGACATAAGACTAAAACAAAATGTGATTTGGACTCTGGTCTACTGTATCTTGTTTCACAATTAAGTAACAAATGGCAGTTACAATCTGAAAATATGTTAATATCTGTGGCTGAAGTGTACAAACGCGTATCTGCATTTGCAACTTTGCAGACTTCCAGTCATACTTTATTATTTCTTTGAAAAACTAGTCAACTTAATTTCTTCAACACTACTCCTCAGTTTTTCTACTTTGCAAGCAGAATATTCCGTAGAAATTTCAAGCTAAATAGTTGACTTGCTCCTCTTCAAAATATAAAATAGGAGCAGATATTTTGAAACACCACAATGGAGGTCGTAGTTTGGCACTTTAGCCATCAATATGCTTGCTCCTTTCCCTGCTTTTTAACCTACTCCTTAACCAGAATTACCAGACAAAAGTTATGCATTTTTTTTTTTTCTTTCACTTGATAAGAAGTATTCACCATACATGTACTTCTAACTAGTGCTGAGGAATTCCTGGTTTTCATTCAATCTAATCTGTACATGTTCTCCTAATTTGTAGCCATATCACAACTTCTGTGAACTAGCTTTCTTCAAATAAGTTGCTTGAAAAGTTAACTGATTGTTGCGCACCTTATAGGGAAACAGATGAAAAAACAGCCATAGGACAGCGAGATACAGGTCGGAGAATCGGTGAGCGAATAACTGACATTACTTTTTGGAAAAACGAATTGACTACTGAGTTGGAACGCATGATAACTGAAAGTAACCTACTCCAAGATATGCGGCGTGCGTTGGAGAAGGCAATCGCAGACTGTGACCCTCCTTTACACATAGCACAGGAATGTTTGTACCATCGAGAAGGAAGACAAGGTAAAAAAAATGAACTATAAAAATTTTTCAACTTCTTCAGTTTTAAACAAAAAAAAATTATCATCCTCCATCATTTCATGCAGGGACACATGATTGTTTAATGACGGAAATCTCTCAGTTGATTAACTCTTACTAAAATTAGGAATGGTTTTGCAAAAAATGTTAACTTTATTTTTCTGAGATGTAACTTGCTTGTAATAAATAATGCTGATTTTCTGTGAAGAAGCTGGCAGTATTCTATAGTATATGAAGCAAACACTTTTTTTTTTTTTATTACAAGGCTTATTAAACGTTAATATTATATTATTATACTGCATGGATCAAAAGTTGAAGAAAATAAAGTGCTCCTTCGAAGGAAAAAGCACAACGTAACACTCAATGATGAAAGGAGGTTGAGCTGGTTCCATGATCAAGATAGCATACATTGATTTAGGATAAATTTCACCTGAGTAGTGGTCATTTTGTGCATAGTGTGTTTTAAAGATCTGGAACCATTTTATAATATGGAAAAGATATGATGGTGTGCAGTTTTTCCACAATGCCTCAGAAAAGATGATCCTAAATCTGCAATAAAATTATTAATTTGTCTTAAATTAGACTTACGGACAAACTTATAATTATACATTTAAATTTTTATTCGAGGAAAAATCTTTTGTCTTTACTTGTTATTATTGCACCATTTTACTTGAAAATGCAAGACTTCCCATTATTACCTTAATTAACTTGAAGACGTGTTAACCACATCCTTTAATTTTGCTTCATTCTTTAGGCATTGATCTTGTTCATGACCAAGCTGAGCAAACGATACTGAAAGAAATTGAATCACTGCGATACTGTCAAGAACGTCTTAATAGCTTGCATAAAAAAGTTCTTGAGCAAGTAAGTGAGAAGTGTAAATTTTTTGAGTCATATTCGCTGTCATTTGTATCTTAACAAGAGTCACGAAAAATTTATAAAATCGTTGAACGAGAATAGGCATACACAGAAGAAGCTAATGCAACTTAAGGCAACGCAAACTTAATGCGGAGCTAATCTCAAGGTTGCTGATCTGTTTCCATAAAAAAAATTTGATAGTTTTCTACTATTCTCAGTTAATTTGGATATTTGCATGCCTGCAGTTACAGATTACAATAGTTTCCCCTGTGTTCGAGTCAAAGCCCTCCCATTTACAGCAATTAAGAAGTGTGCCAGATAGGGTAAAGTGATGTTTCTAAGATCTATGGAAGTCAGGAATAACGCATTTAAAGTTGAAAAATTATATAGAAGCTCATGACACAAATCAAATATGCTTCCAAACATTGAGACTAAAAGGTGGGCTCCAATATTCGAATTTTTCAAGAGGCATCAGAAATTCAGAAATTCTGGGGCAGTAACTACTAGCTGGTTAAAACAAATTTTACTAATTGAAACAGTAACATTACTTAGTGTGAACCAGTAATATTATTTATACAAATCATACACTAATTTTGGTTAATTTTTTTCTCTGACTTTTTCCTTTCTTTTACTGTAGAATAAAGAACCTTTGTAGCTTGCTCTGATGGAATCATTGATATTTTACATTATCATATCTGATCTCAGTTACAGAACAACAGAGCATCTCAACATGAATTGGAAACAGACGTGCGGAGCAAAGAATCTGCCTTAGGAGTTGATTCTTTATGTCACCAACTGACAAATTACTCGAGAGGAATCAATTATTACAGTGGGATAGAAAAATTTGACCCTACGTAAGAATTTTTTAATCCCATGTCTGGTTGTTTCTCTTAAATAAACATGCTTGCCACATGGACCCGATGTGAACGATTGTATTTTTACAGCAAAATTTGAGAATCTCGTTTTGCGTTAAGTCACCAGTCTATCTGGATTAAAAAAAAATAAATAAACTCTTTTAAAATACTTGTATAGGAAGCCAGCTTTCCATCTCACAATGCGTTTATGACAGGACTCTAAAAAGTAGATAACAGTGAAGGGAATCATAAAATCCTTACAGTGAGATTTAGCTTGATCTAGGTTTTTTTTTTTTTTTTTTTTTTTTTTTTTGAAGAAAAAATAGATAGAGAGCAGAAAAGTGCAAAAGCAAAACTAGAAAATTTGTTTGGGGAGGTTCGACGCCTATTCACTCATTCCGAAGAACAATTCACTCCGTCACAACTTTCCTGGGGAGGACCATCCTTTCCCCAGGATGTCACTAGCTACAGTCATGGAACAAAGGGAATGAGAAGATACTAACTGCTGAAAGGCTATGAAAGATAGAAATACATTGTGGCTAAAAAACCAATGCTGGCCGTAAAAATGAAGTAAGACAGGTACCTCAGGTTATAAAACTAGAGGATAAATAATAACTTAAATCAGCAATTTCAGGAAAAGGAAAACTGATGATGAAAACTTGTTTTACTAATAGAGTCTCAGTACCTGAATCTTGGGCAGAACATTCAAACCGTATCATTCAGCGATCTCAGAACCAACGAATGAAATCCATGCAACTTAGGACAGACTCTGATAATTGTATCAATGATTGTGCAAACGAAATATGGAATCGCTGGAATGCCACAAATTCTTCTCTAGCAAGGCGGGCAAATGAGATGCTAGAAACCAAGAATAAACTTCAAATGCATTTGCATAAGGTAAAGCCAATTATATTACTGATTGATTGCGGCTACATTAAATTCAATTTTAAGTACCTAACAGACTTTAGTTGGGAGGAAAACCAAAACCAGAAATTCTAAAAAAACTAAAGTTGCAGTTACAAAATGAACTCAAATAAATTTCGAAGCAAGCCTGGGGTGGGAGCTCAGGCAGGTACATTGGAAATCCTTTGCTGGAGTTCTACTGAGCCTTACACTGGTTTTCTCTGGACAGAATTAAGAAATTGTTTTAGATTTGATGCCAGGTATGGCACTTCTCTACATCGTGGCTAAAAAACACACTGTTTAAATGTTGTACGATGTGTATTGATGGAATTTACACTATGCTATCTGTTCTCTATGAAAAATCATTTCCATGCCTCAATCATTTATGGATGCAATACTTTCATATCCATTCCGATTTCAACTATCACCATAGTTTTACAATTCATTCATACAACACTTTCTTATACAGGTGCAACAAGAAATATTTGATGTTGAAAAGAACATCGAGCTTTTGCGAAAAGCAATCATGGATAAGAGCAATCCGCTGAAAGTAGCGCAAACAAGATTAGAAGCTCGCACACACAGAAAAGACATAGAACTCTGCCGGGATCCAGTGCAAAGCAGGTAAATGCCGGTGCATACAAAAAATAGTAATTTTAATACAGCTTTCTCATTTTAACGTATTGTGATCGTGGTAAATCAGAGCTTAAAATTTTTTACTCTAATTGAAATTTGTGAACTTTTTGGCCTAGTCTTCCCCGCAAAAGAGTGCGGACTTGGCACTATTTTACCACCTTGTTGATCACAGAAAATCAAGTTCTCTTCCACTACTTCCTCGCAGTTTCTATAAACTACTTCTATTATTCAGTAATTGAAAACTAATTCTTCCAGGTTGTTTAAATGCTTTCATTATTTAAGAACGCTGTGATATCCTCGTATTTGTTTTATCCCATAGGTACTTTTGCGGTTATTTTGTGGTATGGATACTGAAAAAACAATGGGTTAGTTGTGCTGGTCATAGAATCGTGTTTTGATGCTCAATTCTTGTAGATTAACTAAGATTAATGAGATCTGTCCAAATAGCACCTTTCTACGTTCAATATTAACCGAGATATTGCCGATTGAAAAGTCGGGTTTTGGACGTCATCCACCCGGTAGTGACACCCTTGGTTTCTTCCACCTTTTTTTTACTTGTCAGTGTGACGCACATTTGCACTGGTTACTCAACGTGAAACTCGGATGAAAGCAAGGTGGAAGAAATCGAGGGTGTCACTACCGTGGTGGATGACGTCAAAAACCCAACTTTTCCAAGGGCGAAAACTCTCTTAATATTGAACATAGAAAGTTGCTGTTTGGATGGACCATATTATTATTAGCTAATCCACTAGAATCAAGCATCAAAACACAATTCTGAGAACAGCGCAACTGACCCATTGGAGAGTCAATTAAATAATTAACTGACTGAAAATTAACGTTTTTTTCTAGACTGATGTCGGAGGTACAAGAAATACAAACAAGCTTAGACAATCTCCATCAAAAATTAGCACATGCCGAAAATCAACATCAACAACTACTGAGAACCAAGTCAAATCTCGAAAGCGACCTGCACATCAAAGTCAACTCATTATTCATCGACCGAGAAAAATGCCTAGGAATGCGACGCAGTTTTCCTATATCTGCTACAGTTAAGTATTAAGTCACGATTTAAGGTTTATCAATCCTGATTCTTGACTTATCTATTTTATTTTTAACTAAAAAAAAGTAGAGTGTCACACATAAAAATAATCTCAAGGTTCCTTTCAAATCTCTCTTTCATTGCCACAAATAAATCAGGCAACTTGCAGGGTGATGTCTGGATACTTTTTTGTAAGAGCCTTCTTCTCGTTCATGATTGGCAAGGACTACCACTTCAAAATTTCACTTAGGGCCGTTTGATATCCTTTAACGGATAAATGGCACGAAAAATTGAAGGTATCAGAGCTTCAGAACCAATTTTTTCACAGCCTTTTTTGATGCAAAATAATTCAATGAAATAATTTCAGCCCCCCAAAATTCCCTTTAGAAATATTTTGGGTGCCCTCATTGTATGACAGGAAGGGTACGTTCTGACTTCATATTCAGACTCCATGACAAGGAATGAGAACTTCATGTTTCAAGCAATTTTTTCCTGAACCATCTTTTTCCGGAATCATGGGGCATTTTTCAATCAGATGTATTAGGCACCCAGCCCATCTTCTTTCAAGTTTTTGAATAAATTTGAAAGGAGATTTGAAGGCTGACTCACAGGCCAGATTAGTCAAATCTCTTTGGATGAGACAAGCAACCACTCTGGGCTTCAAAATAAGGAAGCCACCATCCCCCAAAAATTTTGAGGTTTCATAATCTATAATTGAAGAATTTCAAACGGCAAAGGTATATTTTGACTTTAGATTTCATTCTATATGAAAAATTTCATTAGATCACATTGATTGTATCCAAAGATTCCCTAAAATTCAATAAGGACCAGACTTCGTTCTAATTACCCACTTGAATGGCCCAGGCCCAGTGTCCGTACCTTCTGGTTGAAAATTTTATAAAAACATCCGAAAAATGCCCTAGCAGTCAAAGAAAGGAAAGGCTTTCGGAAAAAACACCTGGAACAAAATATTCTGATTACCTGTCATAGAATTGGAGTCAAAAGTTGAAATTTTTGACAGTTCCAAGAAATAGAGGTTGCTCAAAACATTCTTTGAGTGGAGTTTAGGAGGTTGCTCAAAACATTCTTTGCGTGGAGTTTTGGCGGTTGCTAATATATTTAATATAGTCTATAGAGTTTAACTAGGCTGTCAAAATCTTAGGTGTTGCTCTCAAGATACAAATGGCGGACATGAGGTCTAGGTCACCCTGTTTACTGATTAAAATAGGGATATAAATAAATAGTTTAGACTAAGTCAAAGTCACTTGTACCTACTTTTAGTTCCATTTCGTATCAGAAAAATGACTTCCTGTAAGAATATTCCACTTCGTCAAGAAAAAATTAAAAATTCTGAAGATTACTAGATAATAAAATCCTGACGATTGCTACATGATAAAATCCTGAAGATTATTTGGTAATACGTTCTCTGAAAACCGTATTCTGAGATCAGTAGTGGAAAAAACCACGGAAACTTCAGTCAAGTTGGTATAAGTTTAGATTAATGAAGAGTTATTTTAACCTCTGTTTCTTTCTATATTGATGATTCTTTTTTTTTTTCTTTCCTTTTATTGGTTTCTGGCACTTATTAAAATTCATTGACTATCATGTTCACTTTCATGGAACACAGTTACCATTGATGTTTTTGTTTCCATACGTTTTCTCTGTTAAACATTAGAAGTAAATAGAAATAATCTGGGAGAGTTGCAATTGAAGATTTGCTCGTGATAATCATTGGTTTTATTGCAATGTTATTTTAACTTTAACAAGGATGGTGGGTTTATGTTGATACCTTCCTTCACTTCCAAAAATCAAACTTAAGCTGTCAAAACAATATCACAAATCAAAATAGTTTAAGAAAACAATGTGTTCAAGATTGTGTTCATAAAAGTGAATAACGAACTTGCATCAGATACATTTTAATGCAAAGAGAAACACTCGCTTTTGTTAAATGCTAGCAAACACTCTGGGCAGTGAGGACATATTTGGATCATATTGCCTAGAAAAGGTACTTGAATCACGGTATATTTCCGAATTTAGACTTGCAGACAGTTTTAAACATGGGATTGAAGCTCCGTCAAAACATAAAAGCATTATAACTATTTAAAAAATTTAAATCCTTGATAATCTGATTACAAGCCATTTTTTCTGCAAAGTTGTCAAAGTTGATTGAAATAAAATGCATTGCATAATTTCATTAATGCTCAAAGTTAATGGATGTCATTATTTATCTTATACTAATTCAGATTCATCAGCAGACTTTGAGAGCTTTTTGACAAACTTTAGGAAAGAACTTTTTGGAAAAAGAGCCAGTCGATCCATGTAATAATAATAGCAGTAATTTATTACAAAATTCTATTCCCCTCAAATTTTCTTTATCCGCATTGCAAAATTCATACAACCTGTACTTTATCCTCTTAAAACATTATCATTTTACGTGTATCAAAAAAACTAGTAGACAAATAAAATGCAATTTTCAAGTCATTCAGATGCTACTGACTCAAATTTTTCCCAATATTTTAGAGTTTATAGTGTTGAAATTCTGATTTTTAAAGATTAAAATCTTCCTCCTGGGAAAATATATGAGTTGTTCGTTTTTACATAAACTTTCCTAGACAGAAAGCAAATGTCTACTTAAAAAGGAAAAACAATCAAGTATTCAATTAAGGCTTGATTAGACCCTAAACTTCAAGTGTAAAAGAAGACTTCTGTAGCTAGTTGATCAAGAGAAAATATTAATATTAATGATAACACCTAACAGGCGATTAAAGATCTCCTATACTGTAAGCACTTATGACCCACATATCTTATGGCAGAACAAGGCGCAGAACACCCAGAGCGTTTCCTTTATGAGAGCTATTACTTTTAAAAATTCATTGTTTACTTCAATTATTTTAATGTAGTTTCCTTCAATAGTGATATAGTATAATTAAAAGGTTATACTTTTAAATTAATAAAAATTTTAAAAAAGTCATTAAAAAATAAAGTGTTTTTATTCAAATCAATTTTTTCCTGTACAACCGAATCAATTATTTTAACACTGATGTTAACGAAGATGTCTTTAGGATTAAAATCATTATTTAATTTTTTTTTTATTGAAAAACTTTACAAAAGAACTTTGAACAATATCTCCTTGTATACCAAATCCTGTAGACATTAAACAGTTGAGCATTCCCACTGCTGCTTTTTATGAATGTTTTTGCACTTCTTTTAAACCGGCAGAGGGAAAATGATTGCAGTTACTTTTGAAATTTGTCAATAACAATGATACATCATGAAAGTTTTGAGAATTTAGGGAGAAAAAGGTGGCATACTGCTGCGTCAATACAACTCTAGAGAGAAGGAAAAATAAGGCATACAACGCTCTCTAACACTTTCAATTTTTTTTTGTAAATCTTTCATATGATTCAACATTTCTCAATACTCTGAGTTGACTCACCGCCATACAAGTGGGCGCAGAAGCACTGGCCAGTCTTACGCTTCAATCATATTACCCTCGAGAGACTAGAGTTTTTTCAGATAGAGGAATAAATATATGTTTAACCATTGAAACTGAACTTCTGACAAAAATTAACTGTGCTTAAAATTAGTATTTTTCTAATTTTATAGAAGACAAAAATATGTTTTCAGTATCGGTTTATGTTGAAGTTCCATAAAAAGGACGAAATCTTAAAAATATTCAACACTACCGAAAGTCTTGTAGTTCTTTCAACTCTTAACAGAGAAGCAAAAAAGAAGAACTAAAAGAAGAAAATAGGATAACGTAGACTAAAACGAGGATAGAGAATCCTTTTTCCTCCTGTTTTTATTGATATTAAAAAACTTCTTGAGAGCTTAAAAAAAATTGTTTTACCACCTTGGTTAGAAATTTCTAATGATGACACAAATCTTTCATTTGGCTCAACAATATATCTTATCTGTTCGAAAGAAAGAAAGAAAAAAAGTTCCCACTTTTCTTTCTGCGAGCAGCTGTGACTCTTTACAAACTAAACAAAAAACTGGGAGGAAAACTCATGAAAATTCTTCAGTTCAATTCAACTGTCAATTGATTTTTAAATACACGTATAGAAGTTGCACTTTAACATCTCACCAAATTTCCATGACGATTCCCAATCTCTTTTGCAATCTTGGCAATCTCCATACATGATAGGGTGGACATGATAGTAAAAAATGTGTCTGCGGTTACAAGAAAAATTAAGTATTGAGAATGCAGTAACCTAAAAATACTGGGAAAATTAATTCAATCTCATCGTGAGAGGAACCTCACTCCCAGATCTTAGTGATGTGGACTAAGTTTCCTGCATTCAATATTATCAATTCTGTTTTGATTCTGGATTGGAAATGTGTAGGTTACCTATTTGGCTCTAATTGATCACCTCAAGCAGCCGATAACTGGGGTTCCTTTGGCAGGATGTGTTTTCTAGCGTAGGATGGTATCTTTTCAAGTAACTTGGATCCCTCTTTGGCTTCAAAGAATGTGTATGAGAGCAATATTTCATTGACGAATTCCATTTTTGGATCAGCGGTAAACTCAGGATCTATGTAGAAAAAAACAGGCATGTCCACCTGAAAAAAGAAAGGAAAAAATCAATTAGCACTGCTGTGGCAGAAAGTTTCATACACTTAAAAAAAAACTAAAAAATTAAAAAGAAAAATTACGGGGATTGCTAAAGAAGCAACTGATTTCTACAGATCAATTTTTTAACAGTTAACAAGGAAGCATTGATTTTTGTTGCAATCGAAGGTAGACAAAAAAGTAAGTGAAAATTTCTCTCCCAGTTTTTTCTGCCTAAATTTTAAAAAGGAGAAAAAGCCAACAGGAAAAAGTAACTGTGTATTAATTACATTTAGAAACAGGTTAAGAAAGTTGAGCGCATAAACAGCAGTCAGCATCTCTCCTCTTGCGTAGAAACTTACGTCCACGCAGCTTATCTGGAAAATAAGTTTGTGATAGAGAGATGGGCATCTTTCATCAGTGTTTTGATCAGCACAAATATTCTTATGCAGGCTCTCACATTCTTGCCAATCAGCAAGTAATTTTTTTAAAGTGAGATAAATCTCTGGTGTAAATAAAATTTTGCTTCTGATTTTTATTCTAATCAATACAGTACACAATCCTTTCAACATCACTTACACGCAAATTTTGGAATGGCTAAACAAGTACAGAGCAGGATGGACTGACATGATCTGTATAAAGTCAGAACAAAATGTTGCTAGCATTTCATGCCATCATGAATTGTTGGCTCAGTTTTATGATGATCCAATTTGTTATGGATGTACATAACAGGAGAATATACAACACAGTAAACATTACTTTAATATTTTGTGGTGAGGTGATCTAACCATAGAGGAAATCCCAAGCTTTTGAAGTCATCAATACACCTTTTACTGCATTTGAATCTAGCCTCTTAACTGGCTTCTCATAAATTTGCGATGTTTTCATAACCTTCCATTTGGAACCTTGGGTAATCATGTCTACAATATCAGATGGGGTTTTATGAAGTAGTACTTTACAGCCTCAGGCTGTTTAGGGGTGTCATTCAAGCTAGGGGTGCGAAACTTTCGCAACCGATCGACCAATCCAATCGCCATAAAAATATGGAGATTGCTAAGCGCATTCAATTTAATAAAGGAAACTGTGAACTGTGCGTTTTGTACAAAGAAAACAGTGAAGCAAGCCATCTTGAGTGCACAGTGATGAGGAGGCTGACTCAAAAAATGTGAAAGGAAGGAAGTCTTATGTAGATAGCAATATGAAGACAACCTTAAAAAATGTGAAGGTAAAAAACTTTCTGCAGCCCTGATTTATGCTAATAGATAAACGTTACGAAATGTGCCGAACAAGGAAATGCATTGGCAAAATGGCATGAAAACAAAAGGTGCTTCATTAAACAAGCTTCAAAATTCATTAGGACGGTCAAGAATATGTGTACACTGCAGCCTAATTGTTGAAACCTTAACTGGCTAGGTCTGCAAGATAAGACAAGACATAGTTCTGTATGCGCTGCGTAATATATCGATTTTTAATTATTGTTGTGCCAACATAAATTTAAACAATAAGGCTGCTGGCTTCCAATGCACTACTTTGCGGCCCGCCATTGGAAAAACTTGTCACTTTGCACACATTGACCGTGATAAAAACTGTCTAGAGACTCCTGAGTCTTGTTTTTATCAGGATATTAGGGATTTACCATACACTTAAAATGAACTGCAGCCCTCTCAGTGAGGTGAAGGTATCTGCTGATTGTAAAATATTCTAAAGCTATTGAATAAACCAGGAAAATAGATATTACCTCCTCATGAGGATTCAACTGTTGCTCTTCAAAACAAAAGCATTGAATTTTCACAAAATACTGTCCAGCCTCAAAAGGTAAAACATTATAAGAGCTCACACCAACTATGGGATTATTGGAGGGATTTGTAGCAGTGTAAAACGCCAGAGCAGTTTCTCCGGGACGCACCTGAAATTGAAGGAAAGGATGGTTCTCAGGTTAGGAAGTTGAAACAGTTACTTAAAATGATGATTTATTTTGTGCTAAATTTTATTGTATTTTGCAAAAGGAACAGAGGACAATAAATGTTGCTTAGATCACTCAACTTCATTTTTTGTTGTAAAATAACTAAATGTAGAACAGATGATGACAAGAAATTTTTCAAGTTAATTACCTTTTTTTTAAAACCCATTTAACTGCTTAACTTATTCTTAAGTATCCACGTAGAGACTTACAATTTATTAGATCTTTCTCTAGGAAAGTAATAGAAGTTGCATTATCTTATTGGCAAGCATTTTGCCATGCTCGGCTAGTTCAAGAAACCCAAAAGTTTCAACAGGCAATCAGTCAACCAGAGGCAAAACAAGTGTTCTTTCTCTGATGTAAGTACTATGTTTTTGAGGGGCCTTGGTGTATTCTTTACTTTTCTTAGTGTAAAAACCAAAATAAACGATTTTCCACAAGTTAATTTGACTTTGAGTTCGACTATATCATTGTGAGTGTAAATGGGGATCAATAAACTACGTTCCCTCTTGGGAACTGATTCACATTTTAAAAATTTAAAAATGATTTCATAATACAGAACTTACGATAATTTCTCGTTGCAAGGGTTTGAAATTCCACTGCAGACTGGATGACACATCAGCATTGAATGTTATTTTAATAGGTTTAGATTTAACTGGTTTCATTTCTGCAATTTTTTCACTTGCATCGCCGTGAGTCACTGTGCCTGCATAGCTGGTGGACTGGAATGAGAATCATGCACAATATACATATAGTATGGCTTTTGACAGCTTTTCAAAACCAAAACAAAGGACTTTGAAGGACTTTCAATGCTAAAATCAAGGACTTTCAATGAAAAATTACTTTTTTTACATCCTTGTTTCTCTACTTTCTACATAAAGAAACAAATCTAAAGACAAGATTTTTTAAAAACACAAACTGCATCGAGAAAAAAAGACGACTTTTACCTATCAAGATATTATTCACATTAAAATTGATCAACTCGATGTGTGATTTGGTTGAAACATGAAATCCATAAATTGTTGTGAGTTCCTCATCACATCTTGAAAAAATTTGCCAAATTCATTTAAAACTGTACCACAAGTCCGTTCACTGAACAGTTTTTTTCACAGAGGACAGTGGGACACAGAAAGAAAGGACATGGAATTACCGGATGATGTACAATTCAAAGACTGTTAAAAATTTTTCTAGTACAATGGGGCAAAATCCTAGAACTCAAAGATGTTAATGTACATGAAAATGCGAAAAAAGTTCAAGTATAATCAAGGACTTATCAAGGCGTCATGAACCACATAAACGTACGGAAAATTGTATCATTTACTTGGCAGTTGTATCAGTGACTTCGTCAAAATTTTTAAATGTAAATTATTTCGACAATAAACCCTATCTATCTATCTATCTGTCATGTGATCAAAACCTTCCAATAAAAACTTTGAGGGGTTCTTAGAAATAAATAAATAAACTTATCAGCGACAACGTTTTGCACAGCCCTCTGCCAAAGCGTTGGGTGCTCAACGCTAACGGATATCACGTGACCGTTGACTTACCAGTTAGGAAACGCGTTATCAGTCATCTCTGTTGACTAGCTCTAGCTAGACACTCTGAAACTGTGTGCACAATTACATTTAGAGATTGGCTCAACGCTCTCAACTACCTCCTGAGACCGATGACTTGTTGACTTCCGTTCGGTAAACAGTCCAGGAAATCGGGCGATTCAAACGGAGTCGAACAACGCCGAGCGTTTGGAATCAGGTAATTTCATTGCCCAACGATCCAAAACAGTTTACGTCAACAACGCAGCTATAGTAAAGAAAAAAAGGAAATATAAAGGATTACATACCGCACAAAAAATCCTGTAAAGTGGCACAGCTGCAAAAGATGCAGCACAGCAAAATATTGTGCCAGCAATGACATAGTTCAGTGTCGTTTTCCTTTTCTTCACATCCAAAGGATTGGAAGAGAAGTGGCGCAGTGAGGAATGGCAGTTGACAGTCTTGACTGAAAGACCTGAAAAATAGCGTGTCTGCAAAGTGTTGACTGAATTCCTGAAGTATAACTCACATTGATTGCATAATCGAACGATTGGAGTGGTTGAAACAGGCGAAGCACTGACACTATGAAAAATAGACGGCTTAATAGAGAATCTGAGAACAGCTAACATGCTTAAAATTAAATTCCTTGGTTCAACTTTGAATTATGATTGAATTTAAGCAGAGCGACTACATAACAACACTCTTGAGGACATCACTCAGAGGGCACCGAGGAAAGACATATGTATTTTATCAACTCTTATTTAATTACACTGATGCTGCACTGTCAGTTGATTAAAATATTTCTACGATACTTGTATTGAGGAGGATATAAATTGAAAGAAAAAATCTTGGATAATAACATTCCAATCTAATCCTTTATCTATTCAGTTTACTGTTTAACCTCACTTTTTTCATACCAATAACATTCCGCCGTTTCGACAGAGAACCGGAAACCCGTCCCATTCAACATTCCCCTCTTCCGCTCCCCATCTATTCTTCCCATCGAATTCCATGGAACATGGAACCCTCCTCCCCGCCACTCCACCACACCACTCCTCTCCCCTTAAAAATGACAAGTCGTTCAGAATCCCCCCCTCCTGGCTCCTAAGTTAATTTTCGTCGCCTTCATGAATACCGTAACAAAGTGAATTCCTTCAATTGTAATAATTATTATCATTGAGTGTTTGTGATATTGGGATAAAATAGGAATAATATGCAGGCTATAAAGTGTGTTGTCGTCGGCGACGGGTAAGTTCTGAAATTGGTTTCATTTTAAATCCTTGTGATCTTTACATGGCTGTTCACTTTCTGATCTTTCGGGCTCAATCTTGCTTGAACATTTGTAACACTGCCTAAGAACTAGGTTGAATTATTTCTAGATAGCTTAATGGTTTTCAGAGAATGAGTAATCGTATCTGGCTCTTATCTCAACGTGATGAGCATTCTCTTTCTATTTGATGTCCATCCTTGAACGCTTCATGTTAGGTGTGACTTAACCTCATACCGTGGACATCTGTATTTATTTATTACTTTTCCAATCTGGTGGATTAGTTTTAAGACGATTTACCCCCACAGTTCTCTCCTACATCATTGAAGTCTTCGCATCATAAGCTCATCTCCCGTGAACGCACACTTATCTATGCTCCCCCAGGGATTGCAATCATCACTAACACGCTGTAGTGAGTAATGCGCCCACAGATGATTGTTGAATGAAAGGAACTGGACTCTTGTGGTTTTTAAGCTCCTATAATAGCGTCTGATTTAATCCTTTTCTGTAGTTAAATTAAGGGAAAATTCATGGCCTTTCTTACCTATCGGTCAGTATCCTCAGCCTTTGTCAACCAATGATGATAGGTTATTTGTTTACACCCAGCTTGTCGAATGCTATTTTCAAGAAGGTCCATTTAGAACGTCCAATTTTTGTATTACATGCTCGTCCCGAAGCATATTTTATGCCAAGAGATTAATCAAGGGAAGTTACTAAAGCACTAAAACTAATGACACTGTCCCTCACCACTGAAATCAAGTTCCTTACTGTGGGCGATAACCCTATTTGGTTGTTTTTTACATTCCTTACTGGTAAAATTTTTATTTACTTTATAATCTGTCTTGATATTAGTTCAACAGATCTCTCATCAGCTACTTAGAGTTCACGCTAAATAAGTTTACACACATCTGGACTGCGACAGAAGATGGTGCATTGTCATGTTTACATGTAAAGTAAATGGTAGAATCAAGATGGCAGATCTTCTGTCGCAGTCTAAAAAAGTGCAATTTTATCTGGAGTAGACTCTTGGTATCATGAATTATTTGTTTTCAAAGCCAAACTAGGAGATAGAATAGAAAGTCCTGTAATGCATGCCGTTTAACATCATTCAACACTTCATCCTTTCACACTTTCTAGTCCTAGTGTAAAGTTTTGGGATGGGTCCCCGTAAATTTTTTCCCTGGAGATCCCATGAAACAACTCTGCAGCATACGCCTTTCTTAGATCTAAAAGTGCAGGGCTGTAGCCCTCATTTTAAAGGGCAACTTTGGAATACATTTAAACAATCAAAGCATTTTTCAGGAAAACGACCATAAAAAATTAGTATTAAGTAGGTTAATCAATTGGTGCAATGGGTGACGCTTGAATTAAGTTGAAGGTAAGAAACACAAGCAAATCTACCCCAGTCAATGTCACATGCAGTGAACACAAAACAGATTTCATTTTAATGCCTGATGGGCGGCTATTCGGGCTCCACGGATGTCAGTGTTGCAGATGCACACCACTGAAGGCGTTCGGACTATCCTGGCTTTCATTACTTAATTTGCAGAGCGGCGCTGCGGTCGGCTGTAATACAAGGATTCAAGATGACAGAGCACCTTTTTCTATTCGTACTTACGATATATTTTCATTATACAAACAAAGAATTGAAGGCACTCTGTCATTTTGAATCCTTGCAGTATAGCCTGCCGTTGCATTGCGGGTTCAGTGGCAAGTACCTGAAGAGTCAAAATGCCTTTACTCCCGTACGTATGCAACACATACATGCATGGAGCCCGAATAATTGCATGCAGGCATCGTCGTAATGGATTCCCGCTAGTGTTAGTGGCATGCGATACTCGCGGTGCTTTGCTTGTGTATGTTACCTTCAACTTAATTTTAGTGTCCCTCATTGTACTGATGAAGTAAACTATTACTGATTTTTATTGTAATATGTAATTTTTCTTAAAATTGCTTTGATCGTCTCAATATGTTACGACAATGCTAGTCCTCCAAATTGTAAAAAATCCAGGTATCTGAGCAAGATTTGTTGAGTTTCTTTTAACTTACATTATTGAGACGTTCTTTGTAAGGTTTTTTTTTCCTTCTTTGGAAAAATATGTTTGATAATCAAATGTGAATTTTTCGAAGATTGAGCAATATCCTCGAAACTGACCTACATTTCTTGGCATAAAATCCCGATTAAGATGGTGACAAGTCATGTGTACCTATGTTCCCTCTTAAGTTTTCCTTTATCTAAGTATTTGCGCTTCAAGGGTGTCTCGACTCTCTCCTTTTGCATTTGCGCTCTTAGGCTGTGCAATGTGCATTTTCAGGGTTTGGTTAGTCTGGTAAACTGGGAGAGCCAGAAAATTTCTGACACGTCCACTAATCATCACTGAAACATATCACTGGTTTTCCAACTGTCTACCGTTTCAGGTTATTTTTACGACTTGTCATTTTTTAACTAGCCACTGAGGCTGATTGCCTTTTTCCATAATTTTATCTCTGAACACGGAAATTGAGTCCAAAATTTCACGAAAGCCAGCACGTATTTTACAAAAAGTTGTCCGGAGGTCAGGTAAAGTCAGGAAATACGAAAATTTTGGAGCCAGGGAAATGAAGATGACGAAGTTGTAGTAACCCTGATTTCTCACTTTTAGGGTTCGCGCTTTTGGGCACCGTCCGCCGATTTTGCACAGTCCTCTCAAGCATCCAAGTATTTCAAATCTACCTCCAAGTTATTACAATCTTAAGTTAGTGGGGAGTCGATGTCTGTAACTCAGCATATCAAAAAACGTAATCTGCCACCGTAGGGATTTTCCTAGGTCTGCGCGTATGTGAAATCTACCAAAAATCATTGAAAAATCTCAAGAAAAATTAGTAATTTTAACGATTAAAAATCAGGGAATTTTGAAACCCAAGGAAACTTGACACTCTGTAGTGTTTCAAAATAGCTCATATGAGTACTATTGTGTGAGTGCGTGAGATCGACAAAGTTTTTAAAAAGAAACATTGAAAATCGTTAATTTTGTGGATGGGCGGAAGTGACGACAGTCGCAGCGTCCGGCGGTTAGAGCAGGAAATTCGCAAGATCAAGTGGTCATCAGGGTAGAGATTGAAACGGCCGAAGGAGCAGGCTCTAATTAATTAGATAGTGAAGCCGATCGATTCACTTTCACTGCCCACATCTATTCCGAGGTTTGCGCCAATTTTTTTTTCTTTCCTCGTCGAAAGTGAAAATTTAACGTATGAAAATGAAACGTTGCGCGCCGGTCGACACTACTTGGAAGATATGAAGCAACTTAGGTACCCCGAAAGCAATCGGACCTAATTGCTAAACTTCATGAAATCGCGCCGCGCTAGTTTGACCCTGCAGAGGGTTGACAGATTTTGATTTATTGTTTTTCCTTTTTTCTCTCTTTACTCGACGCTTTTCAAATAGCCCCCGGAGCTAATCCTCAAATGAAAAGATTTAACAGCAAAAATCTCACCCAAGAAGGGAAAGGCAACCAGTTGACCCATAAAGAAAAAAAAAGGAGGTGTTTGCATTTCGGGCATCTTGGAAAATTTTTTGATGACGTAGGTCGGCACAGCGACTTTTATCATGGATTTTCTTGGAAATGGTGTAATTTATGGAAAAAAGTCATTCTATTAAAATTATGTTTGTATAAAGCCGCTTTTATAGCGCTCTTTGGCGCTCTGCGACCCCTAGCCGCCAAAGTCCCCTATCATCCCAAAGCCCTTCAGGGAGTTGACAAGCCCTCATTTCTTCTAAAACCCCCAGTCGCCACCCTTTCACTGGGCGTCCCCTGTAAAGTTATTCTATTAAAAGTGCTTGAAATTATATCATGATTTGATTAAAGCAAAAAAACGGGACATTATGGTCCTTTTTTCATACTTCGAATTCCGGATTTCGCTGGCTAGGTTGTACCGACCTACGTCACAGGGTAAACAAACCTCAAGATGCAAACGCCCCCTTTTTTTCCCCCATGCAGTTGACCATTTGGTCAACGAGAGACGCAGCAGTCGTGGGGAAAGGAACCAATCATCTGCAAACTCTGGAAGAATAACCGGGATTCATCAGAGAATTTCAGGGATAATCAAAGAATATGTTACGGAAACCGGGAATCTCTCCCTCCATCGCGTGAAGACCATTTTGTTAGCAAATTTTGCAGAAATTTTGAGTATTTTTTGTTATTAAGGATAATGTAATTTCACCTAAGTAGCCAGTATTAACCTCTTGAATGACATTTTTGAATTCTCAAATCATAATAATAGAGAAGCTCTCGTTGCGACCAGATGACAGGTATGATCAAAAACCGCTTTCCGAAGCAAGAATTTGAATGTGCACCAAACAATCGGCTGAAATTGAGAATTCGATGCTCATAACTGGAACTCGGGAGAATTATTTAGTTTTTCTCAAGAAAATCTCGGGGAATCGGTGAAAACTTAGGTTTATCATCAGAGAATGAACTCCAGAAAATCAGGGAATAATCATAGTTAAGAATTCTAGACCGCATGGTTTAATCTTCCTGCACTAAAATTATGCACGGACTTCGAAACGTCAGGTTTTTTTTCGCCTAGTTCTCTCGGCTCTCAGGGAAACGGTATGAGGCTCTAGAAATCAGCGGTCGCTTGCTAATTTTGATTCTTGTCATGGCCACTCACTAGTTTCAATTTTATTCAGTAGGTCTCTAAGCTCAACCAAATCGCATTTTATTTAAGAGTTGAAGTTCAAAGATGTCGTAAACTACTTTCGCCAGCTGTTGGAACGGAGCCAATGCAGCTTTCCGCTTATTCCCGCCTTAATTTTCAGCTCTTGTTGTTGTTGCGTTTCATTTGTCTTTGGTTTTTCATACAGTTAGTTGGACCGTGTTTAGCAGAAAGGAACCAAGCCGCATTAGCTGTTGCCAAATTCAACTAGGGAATTTAGTTTTTCCAAGAAAACGTTTGTGCGGATTCCTTTGAAAATTTTAAGGAATTTGCCTCGTACTATGCA